GTTAAAAAGTATAAAGAAACAAATGATCTAAAAGAGCTATATTTTTTATAACATGGCGAGAGTCACATTCAATTCCAAGGGTGAGAAGGCAATCCATGGGGTTGAGTGAAAATAAATAGTGAAATATTCTTTGTTAGATGCAAAATTGGATATTTTAAGGTGATAGATTAAAATTTCCAATTTGGTCTAGTTGACTGGAAAGTAATGCGAGAATGTTAGTCCTCAGGTGAGGGAGAAGTGGGAGCTCTAGAGTGAAAGCTGGTATCCTCCCAACCTAACAACAGAATTGAAGACCAAATTTTAGATCAGTTAATTTTTTTTTCATACACTTGATAGAGGGTAAAGAATAAGATTGTTTCTATTTCGCACAATACAATTAAATAAAGAATAAGATTGTTTCATTACACAAATGTTACTATTTAATCAGAATATCAGGAGCAATGCACTTGCTGAACTTCCTCATCAGGGACCTCTTGACACTTGGAGAAGGGGAACACTTTTTGAAAGAATTGATAGATTCCTGGTCAATCAAGCTTGGCTGGATACCAACTTTATGACTACAATTTCCCATCTTCCTTACACATGTTCAGATCATATTTTTTCTATATCCCCTAATACTGTTTCTCCTTTACCAAGATTCAGACTCCTTAATGTCTAGGTGGAACATCCTGAATTCCTCTCCTTTATTAAGTTTATTTGGGTACCTGTTTCATCCTTGCCACCTTTGTTTAAACTATGGAAAACTCAAAGAAAAGTTGTTAATTTGCTGAATGCCTGGAATTGGAACTGCTTTGGAAACCTTACAGCAAAAGTTGAAAAGGCTGAAGTTGCAGTGAAACAAGCTGAATTAAACATTTAGATGGGGCTATCTGATGAACAGAACTTGATATTAGTAAATGCAAATCTACTTCAAGCTATCCATTGGGAGGAAGAGTTCTATTAACAGAAGGCTGCCATCAAAAAATTTGTTGATCGGGATAGGAATACAAAGTTTTACCATGCTTGTATTAAACAAAGAAGACATTCCAACACCATCTGGAAGATTAAAAACCAAAATGGCAATTGGGTCCAGGGAACTGATCTAATTCACAGAGATCCTATTGATCACTTTCGAAACCTTTTATCTAAACCCCATGAGGCTACTCTCCTGAACTTTGACTCTGGCTTACTCAAATGATAAATTTTCTGATCTCCAGAGCCTGTATTTAACATTTATTCCTACTGAGGAAGAAATTTGGAAAGCTCTATGTTCTTTTGACGGTGACAAGATGGCTGGTACAGATGGATTTACTTCTACTTTCTACAAAAAATCTTGGGAGGTGATTAAGTTTGATGTTGTGGAAGCTGTCCAGGATTTCTTCAGAGGGGAGGATATGCCACATTATATAGCTCAATTCACCATTATTCTAATCCCAAAGGGAGACCAAAAATCTAATTGGGATAATTTTAGACCCATATCTCTCACCACTGTGCTGTCTAAACTTATTAGTAAGCTTTTGGTTTTTAGATTAAAACCACATTTATCTTGGATGATCTCTTCTAATCAGTCAGCTTTTGTTACAGGTAGACAAATTACTGATAATGTGTTACTTACACAGGAATTCTTGCTTGATATTGACAAGCCTTGCAGAGGGGGTAATCTTATATATAAGCTAGATATCTCTAAAGCTTATGGCACTATCAATTGGGATTTTATCTTGGAGTTTCTTAAAGCTAGGGGGTTTCAAAATTCCTTCTGCCAAATCATCCATAGGTGGCTTAACAATAATTATTATACCATTCTTATTAAAGGTAATTCTCAAGGGTAGTTCCAAACAACTAGGGTAATTAAACAAGGGGACCCCCTTTCTTCTTACATCTTAATTTTGGCTATGGATTACTTATCTAGGCTTCTTAACAATCATTTTTCTGAAAGGGAACATCTCAGATTTTCTAATAAAGCAAACTTTTCCATAAGTCATCTATGTTATGCTGATGACTTCATACTATTTTCTAAAGCCTCAAAACCAGCAGTGAAGAAGGTGGTTAATCTGCTGAACTTGTTCCAACAGATCTCTGGTCTCTCTCTGAACTCAAAGAAATGCCAACTTATTTTTAGCAATAAGCTACATCCTGCTACCAAAAATTGGATTAAAGACATCACTGGCTTTAAATCAACTACTAACCCCTTGGTTTATCTTGGGGTACAGTTAATTAAAGGAAGGAAGAAGCATAATCAATTTGATGAGGTGGTTTCTAAAATCTCCAAACAAATCTCTTGTTGAACTAATTCATTTTTGTCTCAAGGAGGAAGATTAACCTTAATTAAAAGTATCCTAGCTTCTTTCACTATGTATATTTTGCAAATGCTGAAGATGAAAAGAGGTACACAGAGAACTTTAGAGGTGATGTTCAATAAAATCTTATGGGAAGGAAATCACAAACATGCTCATTGGTTTAGTTGGGAGAAGCTTTGTCTGCCTCTAGCTGCAGGGGGGCTTGGCATGAAGTCCTTCCAACAGCTTCATGAAATCTTTTATTGTAAACTCTGGATTAAATTTAGAGAATAGAAATCTTTGTGGGCTATCTATATGAAGTTAAAATATTGCAAACACTCCCACCCATCAATTACATACAGAAAACCTTGGAATTCTATAATCTGGACTGAGCTATTGCATATTAGGAGTGTGGCTGAAGACCTTTTTATCTAGGATGTGGGAGAAGGAAAAGTTAATTTTTGGTTAGATAATTAGCTTCTAGAAGGTAAATTGGAACCATCAACATCTCTGGACTCAACTATCAACACCTCTATTCATCTTTGCTAGAATAATCAGATTTGGAATAGAGACATGTTGGCTTCTATGGTGAATCCTAAACAAGTGTTTCAAATTTTTAAAGTCCCAATTACTCCACTGAAACCATATAGAATTGTGACTAAAAATCCTCCCCATACTTCTTTTACCAAATTTGCATACTCCCAATTAAATAATTGGCACCATAAGGATTGGGGTAATGCTATGTGGGTGAAATACCTCAGCCCATCTATGTCCTTCTTCACCTGGAGATGTTTTCATAATATTATTCCCACTGATGATATACTCAAACTCAAGGGTCTAAAAGGACCTTCAAGATGTACTTTCTGTTGCCAACAAGAGGAATCTTTAAATCATGTGTTTTTTTCTTGTCCTTTTGCTCAAGGGGTTTGGACACAGGTAGCTACTAATCTTAGTTTCCCTTCTCATTTATTGAATTTTGGTAACTTCCTTGACTGCTGAAAATTTTGGAAAGGGAACCATGCTGAATTGATCCCCTTTATTACTACATGGTTCATTTGGATGGCAAGGAATAGCAGTAAATATGAGGGGAAAATCCAAAGTGCTACACAAATTGCTACCAACTGCTTGGCATATACTCTTAAGATAATCAATATCATGGGGTATAAGATTAAAATTCTTGGATGTTCCCAAATCCTCAATACCCAAGTTTCTGCTGCCAGACCAAAATTTCAGTTGTTCCATTGGAGGAAACCTTCTTATCCTTGGATCAAAATCAACACTGATGGGAGTTATAGAAGTCACACTGCTGGAATTGGAGGGATTTTCAGAAATAGTGCTGGGGATTGCCTGTTGTGTTTCCAATCTCCCACTGTTGCTATTAATGCTTTGCAGGCTGAAGCCTTTGTTGTGGTTTGGGCCCTTCAAACAGCTGTTGTTATGGGATGGAATCTAATAATTGTGGAAATGGACTCATTATGGCTATTCTAACTTTTAAAAGATAACATCTCCCCACCTTGGTTTCTTCTACATGTTGTTAAGCAAATCACTCACATGAAGTTGAATCATAACCTTCAAATTATCTGGAAACATATTTTCAGGGAAGGTAATAGATGTGCTAATTGGCTTGCACATCAAGGAGAATTGTCTTTGTTGCCAGAAGTTTATACCACCCCTCCTGTGGAGCTGGCTTGGTTGATTAGGGCAGATCTCTCTGATCTGCCTTCTATTAGAAGGGAGATGTTCACTGATGTTGATTCTAACCACCTATCTAGAGAGGATTTGTGTTTCCTACGACCTACTGTTTTGTTATGTTTCATTTCCTTCTTCTCTTCAGCCCTATTGTTTGGGGATAGGTTTTCTTGATAGGTTATATTGCATTTTGTTTTCTCTTAAGAGGTCTTGCCCTCCCCTTTTTTGGGTAATCCTTGGTTTTGGCTGTGAACCAAGCCAAATATTGCTTTGTAACCTTATTTCATTTTAACATGTACGGAGTCTCTGTCACTCCTTTTTTTAAATATATATATGAATGGAAGAGTGGAATTCAAAATCATTAAAGGTCTATCCAGATATAATAATCCTTACTTGAAATAGAAAAAGAACAAAAAAAAAAAGAAAAATAAAAGAAAATGAAAAATAAAAAATAAAAAGAAAAGAAAAATTGAAAAAGGGAGGAGAAGCTTGAGAATTAGTGCCTAATCAAAAATTGGATCCACATCTCATCTTTTTAAAGTAAAAGACTTGAGAAACTCTTAAGCTTAAGGATATAAAACATGGGTTTTTCGGCTAGGGTTCCTTCCTCCTCTGGCATCTTTGGTGACAATGGTTTCTCATCTTTTTGCCTTGCGATTTCCACGTGATTTCTCCCCAAACTCTTTGATTTCACTTGGTTTGAGGCTTTTTCGAGGGTTTGCTCTTCTTTTCTTTCAGTTTTTGAGATTTGATTTGCTACATCTTGGTTTCTCGCACATGTTATGCCCCTACTTTTGCTGAAGCTGTTGAGGGAACTCATTTTTCCTCCAAGGCGATGAGTAATAATTTGATTTTTCCTAATTCATTCAATGAATCTCATATTTTAGGAGGTGAGTATAATTTTATTAAGAAATCCATAAAAAAAGGGGGAAACTTGCTTTATATCTGTCTGATTCAGAGAACTCGATACTTGCTTCATCTTATTGTTTAAATTTAGTTGGAAAATTTTGATATGGACATTTTAAGATCGTTTTTATTTGCAAACATTTTGAACTCATGAATCTTGTTGGAAGTTGGAAAGTTGGCCCTTTAGATGGTCGACACATTTTAATTCAGCTTTCGAGTGAAAAAGATTATGATAGAATTTTTGTGATGCATTTTATGCGGTTTGATGATATTCTTATGACGATTCTTAAGTGGTCAGTTGATTTTGATGCGAAGGCTGAGCTCCTTATTATCCCTGTATGGCTCCGTTTATCGGGATTGAAAGTTCATCTTTTTAATCATGAAATTTTGTTCTCTATTGCTGCGATGTTTGACAAACCGTTAAAATTAGATGCTCCTACTTTTAATTTATCTAGACCATCCATGGCTAGAATTTTGATTGAGTGTGATCTAACTTTGCCTCCCCCTGAGGAGGTCTGGATTGGATCAGCCCACAACGGTTATTGGCAGCAGGTACAGTTGGAACAACACCCTCGTTACTGTGGTCATTGTAGAATGTTTGGTCATGATTCAGTTCAGTGTTTCCATCTTTACCCGGAATTGCAGAAAAGGAATGGTGGGCAAAATCAACAGAATCATTCTGTCGAAAAGACTAAACCAACCTCTTTGTTGGCTGACTCTGTGGAGACTACGGTTGTGCCTAATGGGGGTGCTTTGAATGTTAGGGGTATGGACATTACTGTGACATCCACTAATTTTATTATGAATGATGGTGTTGAGGGTCCTCGACATTTGGAGGATTTTCGAGCTGCTGATACTCTTACAATTAATGATAATTATGCTCCTTTAAAGAATGATTTACAAGGGTGTCATGGTAGTTCGGTCCATATGGATGCTAATGTTGAGACTCAATCTTCACATGGAAATATATATGCTATTGCTCTAGTTAATATTGTTTCTACTCTCTCTAGCACTTCTGGTTATATGGAAAATTTGGTGTCATAGGGGTGTGAGGGGGCTCATGTACCTGACAATGCTGTTGATTTGGGAGTGGTTTCCAACCTCCTTGGGAAGGAATGGCAAGTACAGAAATCGTGTCGGAGAAGAAAAAAAGGGAATTATGAGTTGGCTAACCTAAGGTATGGTAGTAATATGGATTCTCTTGATAAATCTCATTCTGATAGCAAATTTAGACAAACCCGAATTAGAATTTCTAGTAAGGGTTCTTTGTCCACCGATATTTAGTATTTTGATTTGGAATATCAGGGGAGTTGCAGATCCTAACTCCCTTGGTAAATTGATGCTTTTAACTAGGATCCATAAAATTCGTATCTTCTCGATTTTGGAACCAATGGTTTCTTCTTCTCATGATCAGATTTTGGGAAAATTTAAGCACTACTCCTGTTTTCACAGCTATGCTAATTAAATTTGGATTTTTTGGAGAAAACTTATTTATATGGACATCATTGCAGATGACGGGCAGTTTGTACATACTTTTTTCTCTATTGATAATTTTTCGGGTTAGCTTACCTTTATGTATGCTAGCACTTCCATTTTGGCTCGATATGATTTATGGAACAAGATTAATTGCTTTAGCCAATGTTATTATTGATAAAGGGATGGTGGGGGGAGATTTCAATATGATTTTAAATAGTAGTGAGAAATTGGGTGGCCATAGGGTCGTCTCCTCTTTGATGAATAACTTTGGGAAAACTATGGTGGATGTAGGCTTAGCTGATTTGGGAATTATTGGTTCTAAATACACTTGGAAGCGAGGTAAGGTTTTAGAAACTTGACAGATGTTTTGCTAATAAAAATTGTCTCTCTTTTTATGGTTTTTCTAAGGTTCAACATCTTTCAAGCTCGGGCTCGGATCACAAACCACTCCTATTATCTTTTGACTTCTTTAAGAAAGCTACTACTTATCACTTTTGCTATTTTAATGTTTGGTCTAAGCATGAGGATTTTTTAAGACTTGTTGCTAATAATTGGAATGTTGCTGATGTTGGGAATGCTTTGGTTCCAACTTTGGAAACTTCACAAAAAGGTGGCAAGTGCTTTTAGAGCTTGGAATTGGGAGGTGTTTGGTGATGTTCATGCTAGGGTGGTTAAGGCCGAGAGCATGGTTCAACATCTTCAAGCTATTGATGAATCGTCTAATGATGTGGTTTCTCAATTAAAAGATGCTAATAATGAACTCCTTGCTGCATCCATTCAGGAGGAAGAGTTATTACAACAAAAGGTGGGAGAGGTACATTTTGTTCAAGGTGATAGGAATATGAAATATTTTTATGCTTGGATAAAACAACGTCATGCAAATAATACTATTATTCGCATTAAATATGATTGTGGTAATTGGATTACGAGCAATCGAGATCTGGGAGTTAGTGCTGTGCAATATTTTCAAAATCTGTTTCTCCCTTCTCAAAATGTTGGCACCATTGATAGTTCTCTCTTTAATGATGTACGAGATTACACTGAGAATTTGGTGCTCCGTGGTATCCCAACTGCAAATGATATTTTTCAGGTTCTTTTTGAGATTAATTGTAATAGAGCTCCAAGACCAGACGGTTTCACCTCATATTTCTATGTTAAGAACTGGAATATTATTCAGAATGACGTGGTGCAAGCCATTCAAAGTTTTTTTAAGGGTGACACCCAAGGGAAGTATTTTTCCACTGCCACGATGGTCCTTATTCCTAAATCTAACAATAAATCTATGTGGGAATATTTCGTCTGATAGCTCTAACTTCTGTTATTTCCAAGGTTATTTGCAAAATTCTGGTTAAGCGTCTCCAACCTCATCTTAATCAGATCATTTCTCATAACCAATCCGCTTTCATTCAAGGTAGGGGAATTATTGATAATATTATGCTTGCCCTGGAATTACTCCTTGACATTGATAGGAAATTTCATGGCAGTAATATGATTACTAAGCTGGATATTTGTAAAGCTTATGATTCTCTTAATTGGGAATTTATTTTAGACATTCTCAAAGCCAGAGGTTTCTCTACCTCGTTCCGGTATATTATTCATAATTGGCTCAAGTCTAATCAATATAGTATCCTCATTAACGGAGAATTACATGGTTTTTTCAAGGCCGGCCTTGGGATTAAGCAGGGTGACCCTCTTTCTCCTACGATTTTTATTTTGATTTTTGATTATTTCTCCTGAGTTATCAATCACAAATTTAGTCAAAAGCTAACCCTACAATATCAGAATAAAGCTAATGTGCTGGTCTGACATTTAGCCTATGCTGATGATGTCGTCAAATTTTCTAATGCCTCCAAACGCACTATTAAAATTATTTGGAGGGCTTTCAATTGCTGTCGGGACTACACTTTAATGCTACTAAATGTAATATCTATCTTGGTAAGTTGGTAAACAACTGCACTACTACTTGGGCTACTAATTTTACCAGTTTTTCCATTTCAACGTTTCCAATTAAATATTTGGGTGTCAACTTAATTAAGGGTAGAATTCGACAGTCTCGATTGGATGAGCAATTTCTTATTTTTGGAGGCCGTATCACTATGCATAGGAGCATTGTGCAGAGTATGCCCTTATATGCATTGCAAGTTCTTCATATCAAAAAAAGCACACAAAAGATTCTTGAACAATCTTTTAATAATTTTTTGTGGGCGGGATCTCATTCGGGTAAGAAGTGGTGCTCTTGGAAGGTAATTTGCAAACCTACTTCGAGGTTTGGGTTTCAAGCAGCTTCATCATATTGTTGCTGAAATTAATTTATTTAAACATTGGCTTAATTTTTGGAGTGGTCAATCCTTATGGGCAAGTTATTTACATGAAAGGTACTGTAAACATTTTCACCCTTCTTCGGTGGTTTGGAGGACAGGGATTACAGGTTTTGGAAAATGTTTCTTCAAGTTAGGAAGTGGGCCAAGGATTTTTTTTTTTTGGATCTTGGGTGCGGTAATGTTTCCTTCCGACATGACTCTTGGGCTCAAATTAATTTTTCTCCTGGGGTCGATATTAATAATGATCTCCTTGTTTCTGATACTTGGCTTAATAATTCCTGGAATTTGCCTCTTCTTACTCAGTTAGTGGGGGCTGAAAATGCTACTTATATTTCTACTATTAATTTTGATTCCCATAAATCGGATACTCCTATGTTAAAGATGCATCCCGACAGCTCTATTACAAAAATGATTTATCACTCCACACACCATTTTCAGCCAACTACATGAGGGGATGGTTTGTGGAACCATGCACTAACACCTTCTATGTCTTTCTTGGCTTGGAGAATTTTTCGTCGTTTACTTCCTTGTGACGACATCCTCAAGCTCAAGGGGTTAAGGTTAGCTTCTTGTTGCTCTTTATGCAACAATGATGAGGAAACTTTGGAACATTTATTTTTCACTTGCCCATTTTCGCTACAAATTTGGAAATTTGCTACAAATTTGGAAATTGGGGGGTCTTTGGTTTAGCACTACTATTTATCCGGCCACAGATTTGATTTCCACTACTTTTTTGTGTAACCCGGATCGAAGGCGTAACCATTTTCTACACATATATCCTTATATTATATGTTGGTTCATTTGGATGACCTGGAATTATATTAAACATGTAAATAGTAAACCTCGATTCTCCAATGTGATATCTAATATTCTTTCTTATGCTCTTAAAATTTATAATTTCTGTGGTAAGAAGGATAATTTCTTCTTGGGTATTATATATTTCGACTCTCTTCCTCACCCTCCTCAGAGTAGGTCACTTTCCAAACCAACCTTGATGAAGTGGCAACCGCCCCCGATGGGGTGGGTGAAAATTAATATGGATGGTAGTTGGAATCAAAGCAGTGTTGGTTTTGGGGGATTTATATGTAACCACAGTGGTCGCTGCCTGCTATTTTTCTCTTCTCCATGTATTGCAGACTCTGTTGTGGAGTCCTCTGTTGGGGAGTCTGAAGCTTACGCAATTTTAATGGCGGTCACTATTGCGGTCTCTTTGAATTGGTTGAATATTTTGATTGAGACCAACTCTAAGATTCTTTTTGAGATGTTAAATCAAGGGAGACTTGTCACTTGGGATGTTGCTTCACACATTAACTGTATTATTTGATTATCCTCTACAGTTTTGGTTCTTTGGAGTTTTATTCATCGCGAAAGTAATAGGTCGGCTAATTGGGTGGCAAAACGCGGTGCCTCCACCTCCATGATCTTAGTCAATACGGTGCCTCCCTCTCCTTTACAGGTTTTACTTCATGGGGATTTAATGGCTGAACCTTATCATAGGAATGTTAATAGCTGATTGGTTTGGTGTATTTATTGCTTATGGTTTGGTATCTACTTGCTTTACAGATATGTTTCAATTTCCTCTGTACTATTTGCTGGATTTTCATTTCTCGGTACAGGAACTGTACTGGGTTTGGAGTGGCAATTTTTTCTCCTCCCTCATACATTCCAGATATTTGGATCTTATTTTTGGTGCAAGTTTCAATGTATGTTTATGCAGGATCTTGATGATGGCTTTTGGCCTAATGGGCTTGTTATTATACACCGGGATTGCTAGGGATCCTTCACTACATTTTCAGCTCGATGCGGTCCTTTATTCAGATTTCAATTTTTGCCTTCTCACTGTAACTGAAAGCCTTCACCTTCATGTTGCTGCTCGACATTACTGTTGGATTTGGATTTCATGTACATCTAGTTTTTTTGGGTATACTATTCCTTTGGTATACATTTTGGACGATTACATGCATTTTTTCGATAGCTTTTTCTTTAGGCATTTATTTTATTTTGCGTTGCGTTCTACTGCGGAGACTGGAACACCTAGGGCTATAATGTATTTTTTTTTTTTAGATGGGGATCCACTATCCCTCCCTAACTTTGTAATCTCTTTTTAATTAACGCTAAGGAGTCACTTGCTGCTCTTTTGTCTAATATATATATATATATATATATATATATATATA